TCTACAACGACAAGACCGAGGTAGAAGCACCCGCACCGGCCCGCAGATTCATCCGAAATGTGCACACCAACAACCAAAGACCGGGAACCAGCGCGGTGGGCAGCTCGAAGAGCTACGGTCTTGACTCTTGAGGGTGGTGAAGATAGCGTTGGAAGCGCTTCTAGTCATAAGGCTAGGGGCGAATGAGCCTAGGATAGTAGAGCATGGAGTTGAGTCACACTATGAAGAAACCATTTTTGTATGGCGTTCGCATGTGTGCCGAGTGTACTATGTATGGTATTGTAAAATAAGAAGAATACAACGCAAATTTCGACACTTTCTTGACAGTCTATGATCGTTAAGGAGCAATCGTACTACTGATCTAGCCAAGATAAGGTACTTCAGCTTGTTGCAATACCTACTTGTACCTGGCCGTCGGCGGGAATAGAGGCCAGAGAATATCTTCAACTGCCAAATTATGCTTTTCCGAGAATGGGAGCGCAACTCTTCCAATTCGACGCAATTGTGCATCCTTGGAAGGACCCAGCAGTAAGACGAGAGCCTCGTGTTATATCGGCTCCGTACCAAGGAATGAACCCAATCCGGATCCGAGTGGGGCACCGATTCCTGCCTCGTCCCAGCCATCCACAAGATCACGTGTGATTACATATGCATGCCCCCATGGCCTGTGCACCGAAACTCCCGCTCCCCACACCACGGCCCTAAATTTCGTGTAAAGATATCAAAATTGCATCTGCCCAGCGAAACTTATCGTGAACATCTCGACCGACCAGCCTCACTAACCGACCAACTCCCTCCACCCAGCCAAATACCCCCCTTCCGTTGAGTCAGTACCGCCAAAATGGGTCGCGTTCGCACCAAGACCGTCAAGAAGTCCGCCAAGGTCATCATTGAGCGGTACTACCCCAGACTCACCCTGGACTTCGAGACCAACAAGCGCATCTGCGATGAGATCGCCATCATCGCCTCCAAGCGCCTCCGCAACAAGGTCAGCAAAAGATAGCCACCCAGACGCAACATACGAGTTTGACGAACGAAGGTCCCCGTGAGACCGCTTCCAAACATCGGTGTTGGGGATACGGAAAGGTTGAGAGGGCAAAATTGCTGACTGGAGTGAAATTACAGATTGCTGGCTACACCACCCACTTGATGAAGCGCATCCAGCGTGGTCCCGTCCGCGGTATCTCCTTCAAGCTTCAGGAGGAGGAGCGTGAGCGCAAAGATCAGTTCGTCCCCGAGGTCTCCGCCCTCGACTTCACCCAGAACACCGAGAGCGGCCAGCTCGAGGTCGATGTCGAGACCAAGGACCTTCTCAAGCACCTCGGCGTACGTCTCAACCTCTACTTTGATTCGAAATGATGTCCCCCAATACTGACTATCGCGCCCTGCAGTTCGACGCTATCCCCGTCAACGTCACTCCCGTCGGCCAGACCCAGGTCCAGGAGCGCGGAGGCCGCTTCGGTGGCCGCCCCCCTCGCCGCGACTAAATTTCAGTCGTGGTCGATTGTGGATAAGGAAAATTGGGTGGTTTTTAACGGACTTTTACGGCAAACGGCATATGATGATACACATTGCTACAGGCGTCTTACGGACGGTAGTGAGTTCACACTAGGAACTTCCACAAAGAAAAGTTCTGTTTTCCCACTCAAGGTGTCGCCGATTCTCTAGGGTAATTCCGGAGATGACGCTTGACTGCCAATCTTCTATCCCTCTCTTGCGTACCGTGATGCTGTCCCTCTGACCTTGTAGCTCAACTGAGCCTCCCGTTGAAATGCAGCTAGTTTATGAAACTAGGCCTGCTGTGCATATAGTGATTAAACTTTCGAATCGGTGTGCCTTTGGGTATCAAATCTATCTATATAGAGCGACCGATCATTGCGACGCCTAAATGAGCTCCTCCCACGCTTCAATCATCTCTGGTATCCTCCCGCCCGTAGAATTACATCATGACATTTCTTGGTCACGTTGTGCCTCAAATTGGGAAGCCTCAGCAATGGCCTGCGCCTTGCCAGCTCCCGGTCTGTGTCCCTCAACAAAGAAATGGGAGTCGTCTGGATCTCCAAACACGCCATGCTCTGTTGGTGGCTTGACCTCCCTCTCCCTGATGGCAAGAGTGAAAGTATTACCAGGCTGTCCCGTCTCCCGTGTCTCTCCTCTCTCCAAGGCCAATGTGGCGGACTCGTCGGCCGCCCTCCTGCCCTCCTCCAGCTTCAAACTTGCGAGGTCGCGCGAAGCCTGTGATGCAGGGTCCTCCTGCCTCGCCTTCTCCTCTCCATACAGCTCAATCTCAATATCCGGCAACCCCGCCCGCTCCCACGCAGCCGATTCGTTCAGCTGCACCTTGATATACATGGCCCTGCGCTGGCAGTCCTTGGAGCACCACTTCTCCGACTCCTTGCGATTGACGATATCAAAGTCTGCCTTGCCAAAGTTGACGAGCCTCCACTCGCCACCTTTGGAGGCCATCGGCTTCGGCTGCGCGCAGAGGGTGTACCCGCACAAGCCGTTGACGTTGCGCTCCTCGATGAGGTCGTCGTAGTCGGAGGGCTGGAAGAGGCGGATGCCGGCCTTGAAGTCGGCGACGTCGCGTGGGGAAGGGTTGGCGGCGGAGAAGGTTCTGCTGCCGCGCTCGGTGGGGTACTCGGAGAGCTCGGCCAGGCTCTCGAGGATCTGGAGCTCTAGGTCCTTGCGCTGCTGAATGATGCGGGCGTGCTGGAGGGCGATTTCGCGGGGGTCTTGTTTTCGGGGATTGAGGACAGCGTTGGCGGCGCCGCTGCCGGAGGCGGTGGCTCCGGCTGCTGCCTTTTTGAGGATGCCCTTCAGTGGCCGGGCATCGGTAGCCATGGTGGATGTTGTTATGTACGTGAGGTGGTTGTGGGAGGGGTTCGTCTAGCTTGTGTGCGGCGCGTCGTCTTATGTTTCCCTGTAGGAGCTTCGAGCTCGGCGATGGAAGGTGGTAGAGCCTTTGAAAAATGACTATACGGTGCGCGGAAGGGAAAATGTTGTCGTGGCTACGCGTGTGAGACAGGCTGGAATTAAGATACGATGCGTGGTGGTGAGTGTAGATTGAAGACGTGAACAAGTGAAAATTGTTAAGCAATTGGAGAATGTTCGATCCCGCAAGTGTTACTGTCGGGAATATACACCCCACCCTTCGCACCAAGAGCACTCCCAATCGAGAATCCGCTGTTAGGCATGGAAGCACGCAAGCTGAAGCAAAGCACCAGGGCCGTAGTACGTACCTCCTGCCACCACCCGGCTGCCGCCACGATTTAGGGGGAACAGTCAACAGCCGCCAAGACTTTTACACTCAGGCACATTGGTGTGACGGGTTGACCAGGCGCTTTGCTGGCGAGAGTGTGGCTCGGGGTGCTCGGGTGGCTTGAGCGGCCGTAACTCCGTCCCTCCGCTTCCAAGTTCCCCCCCTCCATTCCCAGCTGCTCCCCCATGTCCGCGGCCCTCTCGACCCCTCGACTGGACTTCTGGGGAGGATTTCGATTGGCTAAAGCGGCTGAAGAAACGTAGCGCATCTTCCGTCCGCTCTCACACCTCCAACACTGGACTGGAACTGGACTTGGTTTGACTGTTTGGCCTCGTGTTAACACCGGGCTTGCCCTGCGCCACGGTCGAGTGACCTGCTCAAGCTCCTTCAGGTCATCTCGTAATGCACTACTATTGTTCCGTTGCACCATGTCGTGGGACCGTCCAATGCCTGGAACTCGCTTTGCTGGCTTACCTCAACTTGACCTCACACTGCAGTTGCCATGAAGGTTAGGTGCCTAACCTAGCTGTTCCTTTACATTGATCTGCTTCTCTACGGAACCCTCTCTGGCCAACCACAATTTGCGCGAGGCACCAGCTGGCCGAACCACATGCGCCTGATCTATATTGGTCCTGCCGTTGTTCCCGTTCGCTGCTGTTGAGTATTGATATTGCTAAGGTATTCCGACCTCCACAAGGGCATAGCCTGGGGTGTAGCATTGTGAAGTGTTGCAGCTAACGGTGATGGACTTCCAACTCTTATAGAATTCTATGAAAAGTCCGGCCGAAGCGCAGAATGCAGACGCAGGCGACAAATGACATGCGATAGACTTCTCTGCCCGTTCTTTGGATGACCGTTATGGTGAACCCCTGCCCTTAGCACCCCATCGCATCGCCTGCTATTTGATACTGAAAATGAATTTGTGAAGCAAAGACAGTCCAGTTCAACAGCGACAAAACAGATCAGAACACAGTGGCCATCCACGTAGAGCAGAAAATGAATACCAACCATGATATTCATACAGTGTACTCAAATCCAGGGTTGCAGTGTGTCTAGGCAGACGCATCCTACCCGAAGAGCCCATCTCACCCGCATAGCGCATTGCGGCTCCAGAGTACCCAATATGCACCACATACAACCCCCAAAACTTAGCTCACCTTAGGTACGACACACCAAGGTAAAGATGGACAAAGAGCCACCTGAACAGGAAAAGAGAATGCATTTGTCAACGGGGTGTCTGGGGCTGCATACATGACTCTTGTGTTTGCATAGTGCAGACTTCCCAGGCAGGGCCCCCAATTGCCCCGACACATTGAACTAAGAGAGTTACAAGTTCATGCGCTGACGTCGACACGCCAACTTGTAGATCCCTCCACCCCCGTCCGTCCCTTCCTCACAGCCTCCTTCTCCGACTGCCCGCCCCCCCTTCCTCCCCAAGTCCCCCCTCGCTGAGTTTGAGAAATCGCCAGCGCAGTCGCAACGCAACCCGCTCAACCTCACACACCGTCATCATCCACCTTTGTCATTTGTTTTTCCACCCTCACGGGCTCTTACTTCGCACATCGCATTCCGTTGTTGATGTAGCTACCGCCCCGAATCTGACCTTTCGTGTCTTTTCGCTTCTAGTCGTAGCTACTATTACTGCGTACCTTACTGCTGCTACTGCTGCTGCAACCAACAGCCCACGCAAGGTCCAAGCTGCTGACGACGTTCCGATTCCGTTGCCCCACACCATAGAGCTCCAGCGTCGCTCGCTCTGACCTGCGGCACCCAACTCCTCTTTCGACCGTCTAGGTGTTCGCATCCCACAAACACACCGACAACAAGCCAAACCGACGACAACGACGATATCGACGATATCGACGGACTATCCCGATCATTGCCGGCCATGTCGACCGCCCCTTTCAGGGTCAAGGCCCTGTTCGAATACTCCTCGCCCCACGAGGATGACCTTCAGTTCCCCGCCGGCGTCATCATCACCGTGACCGACGAGGAGGATGCTGATTGGTATACTGGCGAGTATGTCGACGACTCTGGCGCCAAGCACGAAGGAATCTTTCCTCGCAATTTTGTCGAGAAATTCGAGCCCCAGGCCCCGCCTCGCCCAACGAGAACTCGAACCAAGAAAGAGGCCGAGGTCACGTCCCCCATCTCGGAGGCGCCCGCCCCAGTTCCTCAATCCGAGCCTCAACCCACCCAAGAAGCTCATGCCGAGGTCGAGAAACCTACGCCATCCCCGGCCGCTGCCGTGCCTGCCTCGCCCGAAGCACCCGCAGCTCCCGAGCCCGAGCCTGTAAAGGCACCTGAGCCAATCCCCGAACCGACCCCGGTAGCTCCGGCTCCCAGAACTGAGTCCCCCGCAGCTACGTCGCCTCCCATCGCCAAGGCAGCGCCTGCTTCATCAAAGCCCGGCCCGCCGCCCAAGCCGTCCAGCAATGCCTTCAAGGATCGCATTGCTGCATTCAACAAAGCCTCGGCCGCTCCTATTACGCCCTTTAAGCCGAGCGGGCTAGCCCAAGGTTCCTATCACATCAAGAAGCCGTTTGTGGCTCCTCCTCCTAGCCGCAATGCATATGTTCCCCCGCCTACGCAGGCACCGGTTGCAAAGGTCTACCGAAGAGACGAGGACCCGGAAATTCTGGAAAGAGAGGCAGAGGCCCAGGAGAACGCTGAGAAGGCCGGCATGGCTCCTGGTCCCTCTGGCGAAGATGGTGAGGATGCGCCGAAGCCGACCACCTTGAAGGAGCGCATTGCTCTTCTTCAGAGACAACAACAGGAACAAGCACAGCGTAACGCCGAGGCCGCTGCCAAAAAGAAGGCTGCACGACCACCACCTAAGAAGCGCACCGACAGCCAGGAGGCTTCTGAGGATGCCGGCGCTGCTCCTGCCCCTGCACCTGAGGGCGATACGGAGGAGGTAGCAGGCCGGAGCTCGATAGATTCAGCTCGTGTGCCGCCCGCGCCCCGCCGCAAGCCTTCCAAGGGCCCTGCTGCCGAGAGCTACCATGACGGCAATGAAGCGGACATGTCTGGGGCTGGCGACACTACCGAAGGCCCTGAGGATCTCACCGAACGCGACGATAGTGACGCGGCTCCACGGCCTGTCCTGCGGCCCCAAGTCGCTTCTCCTATCGAAGCAAGAAAAGAGGAGGACGCAGCCGATGAGCAGGGCGGAGATGAGGAAGAAGAGGAGGACGATATTGACCCCGAGGTTCGCAGGAAGGAGGAGCTCAGAGCCAGGATGGCGAAAATGAGCGGCGGCATGGGAATGCACGGCATGTTTGGGATTCCAATGGCTGCTCCAGCTATACCCAAGAAGAAGAAGACAATCGAGAAGCCAGTGGAGGCATCGCCGACGGAGGAGCACGAAGAGGAGACATCGCCTACAAGCCGTGTCGCCGTACCGGGCATGATGGCATTGCCAGGGCTGAGCGCACCCAAACGTCAAGAAGAGGCTACTGAGCCTGAGCCGCCAACATCCCCTAGAGCGCCACCTCCGCCTCCACGAACAATTGAAGTCGACGATGACAGAGACGAGCCAATTACGAGCCCACCTCCCAGTCGTGAGTAAAAGACGGTTGTTGTCTTAGTTGCATTTGCTAATTTTGCGAAAGTCCCTGCCCGTGAGCCCGCAGGAGCTCCTCCTGTTCCAGGATCCCGGCCCGCGGCGCCGCCCGTTCCCAGCGATTGTAAGTCCTTGACCCCGTGTTAGTTCGCTTCAAGACAATGGCTCATAGTACTCCAGCTCGACCCGCTACCTCTGGGCTCAAATCTCCCAGTGATGGCTCAGTATCCGACGATGAGCTATCAGGAGGTGTCCTAGACACTCCCAAGGCCGAAGAAGCGCGAGCACCCCCGCCACTGCCGCCAGTTGCAACCGCCGCACGCTCGCCACCTCCCATTCCCGGCTCCGAATTCTCACCAACATCTCCCACCAGCTCCTCGGGCAAGCGGATGAGCAGAATTCCGCCTCCTATCCCTGGAGCTGCTCCTCCTATCCCTACAGCACAATCGCGACCGCCTCCCCCACCACCTCCAGGCGGTAGTCTGAGCCGTCAGTCGACGCAGGATATGCACGTCGCATCACCCATATCACCACCGATCAGACCTCCTCAACAGGGTGACGATGAGGACGAGGCTACAGAGTATGAGGGAGATTACGATACTGACATTGCGTCGTCGGTTCCCCACAAAGACGCACTCAAATCTCACGCCAGGGACTCCAGTCTCGACGACAACACGCCAGTCAGATCACCCACATCCCCAGCCCTACCACCGACCATGCCGCCACCTATCCCGACTGGCCCGCCGCCTAGAGCTGCTCCGCCACCGGTGCCGACGGCTGATAAGCGCCGCTCTGTGGATGTACCGCGAACAGCTCCTCCTCCCCCTCCGCCAGCAAGGGACGATGACGAGTACGACCCCTATAACTACTCCACCCAAAAGCTACCGTACTCTCAGCGTACCCCAAAGATTGAAGAGGAGGGATACTTCCAGGATGATGCTCCGCCGTTGCCATCGCCGTCTCACACGAGAGCCCCGCCTCCCGCCCCTCCCGCTGGCCGGTCTCGCCAATCACTGGATGTGTCACGAGCCTCCATGTCTCAGCGACGTTCTATGGATGCGCACCGACCGTCCATGTCCACAGAATCAGGCTTCATCGCTAACAACGTCGATTTGGCCAAGCAAAGTGGTTGGTGGCGTCAGGACAAGACGGTACCTCCCGTTTTCCAGGGTAGAAAGGACTTGTATTATGAGACGGACGACTCGACATCAGGCTCGATTGTCACACGCACCATTTATGTGCTCTTCCAAGATTACTCGCAGACGATCATCACCGTGGAGTACGATCAGAATAACGCTGCCGATGTTCAGCTGGATCAACGGCATGATCCGCCTCCAAGAGCCTTGCGACAGGATGAGCTCGAGCAATCGTATGAACGATTTGGACGACCAATCTCTGAAGCGGTCGTCTCCAAGAAGGAAACGATTGTTGGCGACGGAACGCCGCAAGGCCTTATTCATGAACTCTTGAAGCCTTTCAATGATGCTCTGGCGCCAATTGGAACCAGAGCTTATGGCTCGCTCGTTTACTCCAACATGGCCAATGCCTCCACACAACAAAATGACCAGATCCGACCTGGAGATATCATTTCCATTCGGAACGCTCGGTTCCAGGGCAAACACGGCCCCATGCATGCCAAGTATTCAATGGAGGTCGGCAAGCCTGACCACGTGGCGGTTGTATCGGAATGGGATGGCACAAAAAAGAAGGTTCGCGCCTGGGAACAGGGCCGCGAAAGCAAGAAGAACAAGGTTGAAAGCTTCAAGCTGGACGACTTGCGTAGTGGTGAGGTTAAAATCTGGCGGGTGATGCCCCGGAGCTGGGTGGGATGGAACAGCCCGTCTTAGGAGATGTGCTGGGAGCCCCCACGGCAGCCGACGCTACGAAGACGGACGACGGTCGGCTCGCTGAAGAGGGACTACTCGCCTCTACGACGAAGACACCGACTGGGAGTCCACGGTTACGACGGATCGGTCTGATGCATCTATTGCGCGTTCAAGGAGAGGATGGGAGATAGACTGTGATCTTTCTTCATCTCGCTCGTCCTCGTGTTATTCATTGGCTACACGCCCCTCCCGCAGCATAGTTTGCTTTAGGAACCTAGTAGCAACGCATTGATTCTATTATGTCGACTCTTGTAGTTTGATTGACGCCGCTGTGAGTGTGATCCTTGGTCCGGGTATGTGAGGATGTTGATATACTTGCGTCTTCTGTTCTTTCGCTCGGTGGGTCTCTGCTTTACATTGTTTTACTCAAATCTGGCCCATATCAGTCTTCTTACCTGTCCCCGACCCAACTCGAAGGAGCCAGTGCGGCGGGTGTGAGCGTGGGCCCCCCGTTATCTGTGATGTTCTTCGCAGTCTGCGTTCTTTTGTGAGAAATGAGACGTAAGCCTTGTCTTCCATTGAGGATCACTACGCTGGAAAGCGAAGACGGTCTTTCTCTTCTAGTTCAGCGCAGAAGGGGATTTACTGTATCGTTCTTGCAGGAGCAAAGAAGAGAGTTTGGCATTCAGGCTGGACCTCTGGTTGAAGTGGGCATTCATGACCTACCTAGTGATACTACGTCCTTTAAATACCAAGGTAAACAAAAGAAACAGAAGAAGGTAAAGTAGGGCAGGCTTGATTGCCCTTCCAAATCCCCCCAAGAAATCTCCCACTACCTCGTTTGACGTATTTTGTCCTTTAGGCTAGAGCACAATGTCTCTTTTCTATTTCTATTCATCTTGTAAGTTCTTCTAATACTATCCTCATCATTCATGTTCACATTTTCGTAAGGAGTGAATAGTCACAAGAGATTAAGTGCCTGAACGTGAAGTTCAGCCATTAAGAATTTCAAAAGTGTACCTGGGTCAAGACGGGCTACAAGGACGCCTATGACGCGCTATGCCCATGCACTACGTCTGAACAGTATAGTACATCTTTGAACTTTAGCTTCTTAGAAGCTCCTCTAGATCTCAATTGTGTTTGCTACTTGTCTTTTGGTTTTGTCTTTGCTAGTTGCTCGGGCGGTTCTCGGTTAGCTCTACACGGCTTTATGATTAAAACTCCATGCCACGCAATAAGTGCACATGTATTACGAATACTAAACTCACTGATGCAAAGGTCCCCAAGGCCGTTTTTTTATTTATATCCTTTCTCATTCCCGACTCAACGTTATGGTCGGGATTTCCAAGCTGGCGCCGTATGTTAAGTGACACTCCTGGCACGCCCCCTAAGCAACTAGGGTCATCTAAAGAACGAAATCCCCTCGTTACAAATTGGCCTATGATACTAAGTACTCTTACAACGTCTCGTATTCGCCCTAAGATACGTGCGTCAGAGGATAAGATGAATGCTCATAGACATAAGAGAAAGAACTCTACTAAAACTATGTGTTCTTACCGATTCCTTAGTTTTTTTTTATGATGGTAATCCTATCCTCTCTCCTTTTACTTAGCTACTCTAAATGATTTATTGATAAATATATATAGAGCTAGTGGAGTGTGGCAAATTCCTACATGAAGCTGAGCATCGAAGTAAAGTAGACGCTATTATAAGATAGGTTCTTTAATCTTCATGCAAGAGTGCTTAGAGTCTTTAGTAGCTTGTCTGCATGTAAGCCACACCCTAAGCAGTAGTCTTTTTCGAACGAGGAGATCTTTCAGCTTCCGCCCAGTCTGCCTACCTATCTTATCACGAATACGACCGAGCAAGGTGCTGCGTGAGCAAAGAACGTAATCTCCAATACTCACAAATGTCTAAAGGACTTCAGACAGTAGGCGTGTCCTGTTTATCTTGCAGTTCAGACTCGTACTATGATTGTATGACCTGTCACGGCTGACGTGGCCCCTTGCGGCGAGCTGCCTCCAGGTCGTCGTGAAGGAAGAAGGACTGAACGTGGGAAACGCAAGCCGCTTTATATACCCTGTAACACATGCGGCAGTAGGCTGAGGCATCTATGAAGCCGGTGAGGGAATCAGCCTGAGAGGAGCTCATTCACTCGGATCGTTGTTGTGGAAGAGTACTGAACGTGAGAACGGCGCCGTCTTGTAATACGTCCGCACGTCTCGAACAGAAAGACTACACTTGGGTATCTTTCCAGAATAGTCCCACTCAAATTAACTTGCGGTATTTCCAAAGGGGGTTATAAGGGGTTTATCTAGATTGAGGTTATCAGAGGAAAAGCTCAACATGGAAATTGAAGCCATCCTCTACAACTTGGGCATACGCAGAGACACTACTGTTTGTTTTATAAGACCGGTCAGAGTCAAAGCAAGGTTTGATACATCTCTTGAGGCGGTTCTCAACCAAATCACTCCTAACTGCTCAAAGAGCCCTTCAAGATCAAATAGAACAGGTCACAAAGAAACATCTAAGACTTAGGATAGAATTTCTACCGAGAGGCGCTATCAAGAAAGGAACAGTTGTTACAAACGAGATCTTGTTTATATACTGAGTGAAGTAAATACCTTTGTATACTGCCTAGGCCAGCTAGTATTGACAACAAACTTCACAAACCCATAGAAGAGTTCTGTCTGACGGTTACAAGGTCATGCTCTATTCGAAATATACTTTGACACTGGAGCAGACACACAGGGAGTAAGGTTAGGAAAGACCTCCCCTGGTAACGATGCCATCAACCTAGAACCAAACCAAGATCAGCACAAAGCTCCCTTGCCGTTCCTTAATAAACTCAACAACAAACAACGCATCCCGCTTATTCATCGAACGAGTCCCTAATCTAGAGGCTTGAACATCCAACATAACTCATCTCACAATCACCACTAGCTCACGGAAGAAGGCGCTTCTCCATCAACCATCAATCACCTCCCCCAAAATTCACAAGCCCCTCACTTCTCTACCTTCAGGCGCAAAGAGCCGCAGAGAAAAGGGATGCTCAAGGCACTCGCCCTCCTTCCCAGGGTATCGGAGTCACTAGAACCAATCACCAACCACCAACACCATACCCAAGGTAGACTGAAAGAATCCCCTAGAGTGGTGAGATGGTGGCCTGTCAAACACGTCCACTTGCGCATCCTCTCCCCCCTCCTACTACCTAGCCTTTTATCCAGACCAACTCCGTTCCCCCCCCCCCCCCCCCCCTCCCCTCCCCCCCCCCCCCCCCCCCCCCCCCCCCCCCCCCCCCCCCCCCCCCCCCCCCCCCACCCCCCCCCCCCCTCCCCACCACCCCCCCCCCCCCCCCCCCCCCCCCACCCCCCTCCGCCCCCCCCCCCCCCCCAAATCACCCCCAATCCTCATCCCGCACTAAGGAAACGCCCAATGACGGTGGCAGCGCATCTCACCCGTCTCTCCAACCGGCTGGACATGCGGGATTTCCGTCAACTCGTCGTTGGCTTTTTCTAGTATACCGGTAGCCAAGGGAAAGAATTGAAAAAGGGAGGGAGGGAGGGCTCGGCTAGGTCCGGTTCGGCTCTAGACTTGTCACCAAGGCCGGAGCTTTTTCGCAGAGAAGGTTGGATGATGGGATGATGTGCTGATGATGGCAAAAGAAAAGAATTCTCTCATTTTTGGATGATTGGCTTCTGCAAGGATAAATGAAAAAGTGTTTCCCACCTCGTCCGTCTAAGCCCGGAGTAGGAGACCTACATGGATGCTGGAAGATAAGTTTGGGGAGAGAAGGCTCGTCTTCTCCATACATGTACCATGTTTAGCCGGGCTGAGTCTCCTGATTAAAGGTACTTGACTCTGCAATCAATCATATTCCAGCTCCTAGCTCCTCCCCAACATGCCATTCTGTGTAAGAATATAATTTCGAGTAAAGCTTGACAGACGGAAACACCCCTTCTCAACTCCTTAGTTCCCGAAGAAAAGGTCCACCTACCCCGGACCCGATCATCGCCCCAGAACAAGACACATGCAGCTTTCGATATGGTGTGATGCAACATCTGCACCAGGCAAAGCTCCGTTGCCGGCGCGGCTCTCGCCTAGCATCCCACTGCACTGGGATGATGATCGGCAGCTTCCATAGGCCGAGCGTGTCAAGAGAGACGAGCCGCCGGCCGGTCGCTGCGGTGTCAAAACCCCCTCCACTGCCGGTAACGGGGTCGGGGTTGCACGACGCCCGCCGTGCAGCGAGTGCGGGGGAAGAAGGCTTTCTCTCCACCACGTGTGTGGACGCCGCAAGATGGCGGGAAATGGATCACATGAGCCCGTCGAGAGCCCAATCACTATACGGGGGAATTTATCGATCCCTCAGTGGCTGGTCACAATGCTGCCTATGGAAACCCAATGCTCGATTCCGTCTCTCATAGGGCCAATATCCAGGGCTGCCGTAGTCGCAATGGTCCAGAGACAGGAAGGCACCAAGGGAATAGCGAGGCCTAGAACATCGTCTGAAAACACAGACCGTTGCATCCGGATCAGCAAGACTAGGGCCGGGACAAATCAGTCAACGCCGTTTTGGGATGTGGTTGTGCCGACGTGGTACTCAACGCGGATAGACTTTCTATTCGCGCTTCTAGGTCGTCTTAACACAGGGAATAGCGCGGTATACACCCGTACAGCAAATGAAACATCGTTGAAGCCCGACCCAAAAATTGATGTGACAAGCAAGGTTTGGGGAGGCTAGGAATAAGTCGAGATTCGCCTGTTGCAGTTGTCTAATTTCTAGACTGTGGTATATTGATGAGAACTTTCTTTCCGGGGGGATCAGACACGCATTTGCCGTCGCTAGACAGCGTATATCCCAGCCTGGAGAGTGGCAACACCAGCAATACCGCGAGATATCTTGCCTTTGATCTGGCATGATCGACATTGGCAATAAGCGCTGCAATGGCAGCTCATAGGCGCGCGTGCGGATAAATGAGTGTCTTTAAGCTCAAAGATATGTCTGGTCGAGGACTGAC